GGGTTTTATTGAATTTTTACAGAACTTTCTTTGATCAATTCTAGGAGAGGGTAGGAGGCATTCACAGGGATAGTTCAGCTATCGTTTCGCAAGTGCCTTTAGTGAGTGGTTCTGCGCCGCAGCAGCCGTAGGGCTCTCTGGATCGAATCCCATGCAGGACAAAAAAAATCTCTATCTAGGGGAACGCCATAACTTGCCCTCACCAAATCCTCCGTGAGGTGTATGGGATTGGGTACTGAAACGGGAAGCAACAATCTTTTCTTACCCTTACCCCCTCAATCGTACCCAATGCGGCTCCACCCTCCAGAACCACCCTCCCAAGTGATAGAGAAAACCTCTCGCACACCGTACCCCCTGAATCGGTTCACAGCCTTCAGTCAAAAGTCAGATTGGCATTGTATGCTACGCGATACATTTTAGTTAATTAAATTTTTATATAACAGCTGAATTGTTGGTTATAACAACGAGTTTTTATTGAATTTTTACAGAACTTTCTTTGATCAATTCTAGGAGAGGGTAGGAGGCATTCACAGGGATAGTTCAGCTATCGTTTCGCAAGTGCCTTTAGACCGAAACCTAGACAAAACATGCTGTTCTCTGCGCTTTCAGTGGAGGAGGGGTTTAGCGAGGAACCTTTAACTGAATTATGACGTTTTTAAGAAGCTAATAACCTTGACAGGGTCATCCCCTTAAAACCCTGGAATATACTCCGGCAGAACTGGGATGAAGGTCACCTGAACAGAATTACGGTGCTTTTAGTGCAGTTTTCCATCCCTGGAACTCATTGTTCCCTCGGTTTACACACGCCGGAGCTCGCTGTTTCCTTCAGGCTTAGGCAAAATCACTTAAGTACATTACGACGTTTCTAACTTCACCCAAAGAGTAGTAGAAATGCCCCTTCAACTGTATTAGCGCTGTTTTTCAAATTGTATCTCGCATAAATACACAGTACTTGCATAATATTCAAATCTTTTTTCCGATTTTTCCTGCACGTGCTGGATCCCTTTTCTTTTGTGTGACAGTGGAGGTCCGAGGCAATGTTTAGAGGGACATTCTTAGGGGCTATCAAGGTCGCAGTTTTGCTTTGAGTGGTAACCCAAATGATGAGCGCTATCAATAACCTGTAGTATCTCAATGAAAGGACAAGGACAGTTGGCGTTCGGGTGTAAACAACGTGGTAGAGTGCAAGGAACAAAGTACGGAGGGTTACGCACTACTGATTTCCATCAGTCTGCAGAAAAAAGTCATCGTTGGAGGTTTCCTTGAAAATGAAAAAGTGTTCAGCACCTTCATCAATTCAAAACAGTTCAACGCTCCTCCAAAACCGGCCTCAGCATCGGCAACGATTGGGGCGTACCAGTCTCGCTGAGCTAGATAGTCCTCTGCTTCGACGGCTTCGATCTGAAAGGCCAAAGGTTGATTTGCTTGGATTTCCTTCCAGTTAGAGCTATCAGTGAATGTTTTGAGGCTGTTTTAGGCCTAAAGAGCCAAGGAATCCCCACCTGATCAGCCCTCCTAAGCGACCTATTTATCCTTCGGCAGAGCTCTGGTCCGGAATTCGCTGGATAGAGTGATTGATCGGGGTACATATCGCCTGCCGTATTAGCATCGGCCGCCACTTGCCAGCCTGAAACATAACGGATATCCTACTGAAGCTCCTCAAAACCCGCTAGTCCCTCTCTAAAACCTAACAAAACCCTCCCAGTACCTGACAAATAGATGGCCTTCAGTCCTGCCCGGACCATCTGTACAGCTTGATTTCCAGTCTGAGCACCAAGTGCAGGCACATATGGCTCGGTATGGAGAAGCTGCCATAACTGTAAAGGAGGACAAGTCAAAGGAGAATAACTCACATAAGCAAATTATAAGGCGCTTAAGCGCCAAACTCTAAACTCTGAAAGTAAACGGACCTTATTTGCGCCACGAGTGGCTAATGTGTATTCGATTTCAACAGATCCTCGTAGTTTCAAGACATCTTCAACCTTAATGGGTCACACATAACACCAGGGCTATCAAATGGGGTAAAACTAGCAAGAAGTTACCTGATAGTCTCTCTTGATCCCTTGGAATCGGCCTTTAGGGGCAGCTTTGACCACCTGAACAGTTATCGATGAATACACGGAATGGCAGTGAATGTTCGCTAAAGGAAGCTAGCTAGTATCCAAAAACCGACTTAGGGTGACCTCTGTGGTCTTGAGAGGGGGTCTTATAAGGAACGGAGATAAATGAACCTCATTTAGGCCTTTGAGCATGGGAACAGAACATTTTAAAAGTGAGCGAAGATGAAAGACTCCTAAATACTCATGGTCCCCTCTTAGTTCTATGAGTTGTTATCAATGAGAAGCTCATGCTTATCACCAAGCATAACAAGTAAACCTTCTAAGAGGATCCCTATAGGATTAGGAGACTAAGAACAAAGCTTCTTTCCTTCAAGCTCTACTAGTAAGGACGACAGAACACCCTAACGTACCTGATACCAGTTCTTAGCCGCCTGCGCCATGTTTTGGTGTAGATCGGACGGCGTGATGGGCGGTCGCCGCCCTTTTATACGGCATCACCTCCCGGTCGACGCTGCGATGGGAGAGCACACAAACATCGATAACGCCTGATGGACACCCCTGGGTCAGAACTACACCGCTGATCGTTCTTTGAAGTTACTACGCTTTATAATTACTCGTACTTTGCCCTCTAAAACCGTCAGGCTGTAAGTAGTACTACGGCTGAACCAGATAAACAGCTCAGCATTTTCTGACAAAAGCTGATCATTCCAGAGAGGAGGAAAAGGTGTACTGAGGGCAGGCCTGTGCCTGA